GTTCTTGATTTGAATTTTCATCTGATTTGACCAGGTCCAGGTCCAGACCAGGTCCAGACCAGGTGAGGGAGGTCAGTGTGGAGCAGGAAGTTGAACCTTGTAGTAAACATACTCTGGTGGAAAAACTGAGGATGAGGACAACTGGATCCCCTCATATTGAAACATAAGAGTACACGGTGCAGAGTAAAGAGTACTGAATACACTGAGTAGTAAGTAAAGAGTACTGAATACTGTTTATTAGTAAAAGAAGGTTCATGAAAAGATGATGTAATGGATGAAGTAACTGTAGAATGGGTACTATTGGCCCTAATACTACAAATACAAGTAGCTGCTGCAGCTAGCAGTGGGGTTAGCAACAGTAGTAATCAAAGCATTTGTTAGCTGTGGCATAAGCAGTGATTAGCCTTAAGTAGCAGCTAGAGCTAACGATAGCATTAATAGTGCTTGCATGTAGTGGTAGCATTAGTGGTTTACAAGAGGTTCTTTACCTGTGGTGTCTCCAGCGTATTAGCAACAGGTGAAAGGTCATTCACCCACAATCTGTTCTTCTAACAAAGTGACGAACCAATCACACCTGTCAACAGAACGTCAGGTGACTCACAAGAACACAGCTGCACGGTTCTGGGTTAGCCATTGTGATATTAGCAGTTATTTTGCCAGTAGCATTAGCAGCACATTTGTTTTTGTAGCATTATTAGCAGTAGTGTTAAGTATTGTGGTCGTAGCAACATAGCACTAGCATTAGCAGTATTACAGGATGCAGTAGCTTTACATTCATTTACAATGAAAGCATTTGGATTTGTTAACATTAGTGTCAGTCATTGTGGTGTTAGCAGTACTAGCAATGGTAGTATTTGCATCAGCAGTATTATTAGCAGAATCAGACAGTGATAGTATCAGACAGTAATATCATATTTGTAGCACGATTAGCAGTGGTGTTAGCGGTTGTGGTAGCAACAACAATTGCACTAGTATTTACAGTATTTTTGGTCAAAAATAAAACTCACTCATCGTAACGATGTTCAGGCTGAGCGACGCGAACATGACGGGACTGTTCAGCCAAAATGCTTCAGACACGTTGGAGGACGTCGAAGACACAACATCTGGAAATAATAGGTTAGCACCAACTCCTTAGGACAATGTTCAGTCATTTTCTCATAGACATACAGTCTCCCTCTTCTGGTCAGACAGAGAATTTCAGACACCTCCACATTGGCTTCTCCCATGACCAACAAGCTAACTAACCAACCAGCTAACTAACCAACTCACTTACCAACCAGCTAACTGACCAACAAGCTAACTAACCAACTCACTAACATTCTGATGGAGGTAATAACTGATTCAAACCAAACTGATGAGAAACACTTGAACAAACATCAGAGAGAGAAGAACGAGCTGAAACCGCAGAAACATTTTTACACATGTATTTATTTGATGTTTGAGTTAATGGAAGTAACTGTGATGTTGAAGATTTATTATTTATTTAAATGTTTTTATTTGATGAATCTGTTACAACTGAGAGACGACGTCATGTCACATGACTCAGACGTAAAAATAAGTCAGTAACTACTCCAGTCAGAGTAATGTAACTAATGTAACTACTCCAGTCAGAGTAATGTAACTAATGTAACTACTCCAGTCAGACTAATGTAACTAATCCAGTCTGAGTAATCCAAATACTCCAGTCAGATTACTGTGGTACAGTATTTCCCTCTGAATTGTAGTGAAATAATAATTGAAGTAATAACTGAAGTACCTCTCAGTTGAAGTTGAGTAAATGTACTTAGTTAGTCAGTAACCAACAGCTAACAAATAAGTTTAGATCAAATCAGTATGGATTTTATAGACGTGGCAGCGGCGGTGTCCTCTCAGATCTGACGTCTTCACTTCCTCTGGTCAGCTGCAGCGAGGATGGCGGTGGCGGCGTCCTTGGCGTCCTGCAGTAACGTGGAAGCTCTCTGCTGAGTCTGAGACACAGAACAAGTCGTTGATGGTCACAGTCGATTTACAGGCGAGCGACACAGAGAACAAACACTCACAGCTGCGGTGAAGGCGTCATCTGTGATGTCACGGAGGTTGATCATCACGTTGTAGTATGCTCCGTAAACCGCTGCCTCCAGAGCTTTAGCCGCCACCTGGAAAAAACAAACTGGAGTTACCGCACTGCGATTGTATGACTCCGCCAAACAGGCCACCAGGATCTTTGACTGCCGAAATCCGATCAGTTAGTCAGTGACTCTAATGTTTGTAGTAAACTTGAGGACATTCTCTCTAGCTGATCTTATATATCGTGTTCAAGAGAAACAACAGGACACCGTGACCTTTGACCTTTCACTACCGAAGTGAAATCCAAGCTCAAGTCTCACCCGAGCGTCAGAGTCTCACCCGAGAGTCAGAGTCTCACTCGAGCGTCAGAGTCTCACCCGAGCGTCAGAGTCTCACCCGAG